GATGAAAAGGTCTCAGAAAAAGATGACTCCTCTTTCCTACTTTTCCTGGAGAATGAATCAAGGAGCCCAGGCCTGCGGGAAGCCAACAGTCCAGAGGATGAAACAATCCCTCTTAACCCTGAGACTTGACTTAGTGACCTCTTATGAGTCAATGGCAGCAAAAGGAGGCATGCCTGCAACAGCGCTGTGTCAAGAATACTTTAAATGGACAACCAGGATCTGTGAGTAAAGTAGGGGCTTTGGTATCAGATGTAGGAGAAAGCAGAAAAAAAGAAAGATAAATAGTGATTGAAAGACTTAAAGTTGAAAGAGTCTAAGCCAGGTGTTTATTAATTTTTTATTTGTATTGGATTTTATCTTTACCCAGACACAAAACAATTGGTGTAAGGAAGTATTTTGCTTATTTGAAAAATTCGATTTTTCTAGAAAAGGCAATAATGGAAGGAATGTCTGCTAAGCAGGAATTACTCAAGTTATTCTGAGGGGGCTGATAGAGAGAGGTAGGGGCTGTAGAGACAGCACTCCGGGCAGAAGGAAAAGTACGTGCAGAGGCCTGCTGGGCACAGGGCATGAGCACATAGGAGCCCTCTGGGGAGTTCAGCTGGGCTGGAGCTTTCCCAGAGCAGCAAGAGATGGACGTGGAGCGCACGGCAGGGGCTCTTCATGAAGGGCTTTGTACACAGTGACATGGGGTGTATCTGGGCTGGGAGGGAAAAGTTCAAATTTTGGGCACGTGGAAATGTCAGTAGGTGACTAGATAGACAGCTCTGGAGATTAAGAGAGAAAGGCAACCTGAAGAATATTTGGAAATCACCAGTTTATGGATAGGAATTGAAGCCATACACACATACACAGAGGAGACTGCTGCCTACTGAGGGAAAAGACAAGAGGAACAAGATAGAACCTTGAGGCAAGGCTTATAAGGATATTAGCAAGAAAGTTTTGCAGCCAGTTACTTTTGAGCTGGACTTGTAAATCACACTTGTGATCAAATTGGACTAATTGATCAGCAGCCATGATGGAGGACAGAACTAACACAGTCTCATAGGTTAATCATATTTTAAAGAAGCCTTCTCAAATTTTCACACACATAGGGATCTTGTTAAGTGCAGATTTTGATTCAGTAGGGCTGCGTGGGGCCTGGGATTCTAACCATTTCTAATCAGCTCCCAGGTACTGATGGTGTGCTACCGGTCCACAGACCACTCTTTGAATGTTGTTGATTCTGAGTCATAGTGACCACAGAGGTCAGAGGAGAACTATCCCACAGGGTTTCTAGGCTGTCACGGGGACAAATCATCAGGTCTTTTCTCCCCAGGGGCAGTGGGTTTGAACTGCCTACCTTTTGGTTAGCAGCCCAATGCTTAACCACTATACCAACAGAGCTTCTACTCTTTGAATAGGGAGGTTCAAAAGGGTTTGCCTTACTTTCTGGGAGACTTGATTTGCCTTCTAGTATAGCTTACCAGTCGTGTGCTGGAACTGACTGCTAAAACTTTGGAGAAGTTGGCTATCCCACTGACACCATATTGATGTCTTGAAATTGGCTGTAACGGGAATTGTTACACTATGGAAATCTGCAAATGCTACAACTCATTTGCTGGTTGTTAAACATTTACCAGCACACCAGTGGCTAAACCTGTATAATAGCGAGGAATGCTACACCATGAGCTTCAGTGTCAGGGGTCATGAGAGCAAGTTTTAGTTGGCCTCTGTGCTTCATTCATACTCAGTAAAAAAGCTGTCAGGCCTGATTGCTATACCAAATGAAGTGCCTGCTGTAAGGCATTAAAGGAATAGACTTCTCTCTGCATCGGAGTACCTAAGAGAGACAAACACTTGATGTCACCCTATCTGTTTGTTCTATGAGCCAGGAAGTAGGGTTGTGGAAGAGAAGGAAGGATTGAGAGGCTGCTATGGGCAAAGGGTGATTTGCTGGAAATTCTTACCCACATTGCACTACATATATTTCTCTGGATACCTCTAGGCACAAGGCTAGCACTGGCATGGGTGTGCTTCATTAGCTCTAGGCTGCCTGTTCAAGGCTCTGGACTGTGCTACCAGGTTGATACTTTATCTGGAGTATAATGTGAAAAATGATTCTCAACAATGGCTGTTGTTGTTTTGTGCCGTCGAGTTGGACCCGACTCACAGCGACCCCTCCTTGGGTTCCCGAGGCAGTATCACTACAGAAGTAGATTGCCCCATCTTCCTTCTGAGGAGTGGCTGGTGGGTTTGAACCGCCAGCCTTCTGGTTAGCCTTAGGCACTATGCTACCAGAGCTCCCTCAACAATGGTAAGAATTTAACTTCCATAGTATTTGCTTTACTTACTGATCTTTAAAGTAGAGGGTAGACTTTAAAAAGTAAAACACACATTTAATATGGTCAAAAAACAAAAACAAAACATCAGATGAATCCCTTTTGGTGACAGTTTAGAGAGGAAAATGCAGTCTCTTTGCTCGAAAAAGGGAGCCTTCTATTTTCTGACCTGTGGGTCATGCAGTTTTAATTTCCTCTCTCTCTTTTTCCTCTATTTCATGAACCAGCTTAAGGCCACAAATACTCTTCTGAATCCCTCAGCTGTCTAGCAGATGAACTGCTGCCAGTTTTGCTCAGGTTACTAACTCTCTATGCCAGGCACAAGTTCTACAACTCAGATTGAATGCACCTTCAAATCTACTTGCTGGATGGAGCTGAGATACTCCCAGGGGCTTCTGAGGAAGGCAGCTGGGGCGAAGAATTGATTGAGGAGGTCCTTAGGCCCTTGGAAGAGGGAGGCTCTTGGAGAGTGAATCTAGCTAGTGTGACATTAGGCTTCGGTTTATATGACTGAGGTTGGCAAGTGGATCCAGAGATGCAGGGCAAAGGCTGAGCTATGAGCAAGGCTTAACTAGTTGCCATCAAGTCACCTTCAGGTCATGGCGACCCCATGCATGTCCAGGTAGAAGTGTGCTCCACAGGGTTTCCAACAGCAGATTTTTCAGAAGCAGATTGCCAGGTTTTTCTTCTGAGGCACCCCTGGGTAGACTTGAACTTCTAATTGCAGTTAACAGCTGAGTGCAATAACCCAAGGCCACCGTGAACAAGGTTTAGGAAGGGAAAGGCGTTCCTATCTTAGGCTAGCTTACAAAGACAACAGGGCTAGAGCCCTGTAAATGGCATGCAGATGGTAGAACAATGGTACAATGAGATATTGCCCACAAATTGGAGGGTCTTATGATTGGGGTGGAATGGTGGTGTGCACTTATGTGTGCATGTGTATACATGAGAGTTTTTTGCATCTTCCAAGGTCTCCATCTCCTTTCTTTCCAGGGTAGGAGTGGGTATAGAAGTAGACTGGTCCTCAGAGATTATTGTCTCCTATGACTTGATAGGGAGCTCTGGTAGCGTAGTGCCTAAGGCATTTGACTGCTAACCAGAAGGCTGGTGGTTCAAACCCACCAGTCACTCCTTGGAAGGAAGATGGGGCAATCTACTTTTGTAGTGATACTGCCTTGGAAACCCAAAGAGGGGTCGCTATGAGTCGGGTCTGACTCGATGGCAAATAACAATGACCTGATAAGGAACTTCTCTATCTCTAGCCAAACTCTTTCTCTTCCTCGCTTGTATCCATCCATTCCATTCTGTTCATTTACCAATTATACTTGACTGCTAACCAGAAGGCTGGATGTTCAAACCTACCAGCCATTCCTGGGAAGGAAGATTGGGCAATTTACTTCCATAGTGATACTGCCTCGGGAGGGGTCGCTATGAGTCAGGTCCAACTCAATGGCAAACAACAACAACAAGGGCAGGCCACTAAGCTAGTACTGAGGAGAAAGATGAGTGAAATATGTCTCAAGCTCTTAGACAGTTTAGGAATAGAGACTGGCATGTGGATGGGGAAGAAGAAAGGGAAAGTTTAACTGCTAAACACAAATATCTCAAAGACTGAAGGATCCACAGGGGAGTGAGCCTGTGTGATAATGTCAGGCATTTCAAGTCCTGCAAAAAGGGCTCCAACTCCCTAAATCTTCCTGGTCCTGATACCTACCCCAGGGTTCTAGGTGTCTCCTCTCTGGGATTCTTTTTCCAGGTAGGCATGTGGAGCAGGGATGGAGCAGTTCACAATAAAGAATAAAAAGGACTCAGACAAGCAAGAGAGGGAAGGCCTCCAGACACGGGTCTGATCAGCCCAACACAAAGTTACCACTGACTTCAGAAAGCTGGGAGGCCTGCTGGGGCAGAGTCTTTCTCAGGCACGAAAGCAGGGCTGGAGCAGCCCAGATATCTAGAATGAAGGACTGACTTGGTAAAAGGAGAGGCAAGCTATACTGTAGTTGTGAGGAGTTGGAAGGACTGCAGTCTTTCCTGAGTGTACACCTGGGAGTGCATGCATGTGAATATGTGTTTGCTTGGGGCAGGGCTCACTCATTATCTAAGGATGTCTTCTGACTGCTCGATGTAGGAAGTCACTCCACTTCCTAGTTGCTGGATTTTCTCAGAGGCAACAGTGCAAGGCAAAAGGCAACATAAGGAAAGGTTATCTGTGGGACTCAAACCAGCCCTTTGTGTTTTGTACTTGTTACCCTCCTGGGTTGGCAGGCCCCACTGATCCTTGCCAAACTGTAAAGTCCCAAGCTTGCCAGAAGAAAGTATGGTGCCTGGGCTTCAGTTCCCAGTGCCTAAGGACCGCTGGAAAACTTGGTGACCCTAGGTCACCTTCCCCTGGAGAAGTACTCCTTCTGGGAGCCAATTATACAATACAATTGTGTTTATCCTGGCATTTTTGTATGCATTATTCCATGTAGAAGGTGTCAGCTCTACTGGGAACACCCCTTTTTCACAGTGTTTCCCAACACCAGAGGCTTCCAAAACGGACAGCAAGCAGAGTGCTAACTAAAGAAAACAAATGGTTAAAACAAATATATATATATACTCCCCACCAAAGAAGCTCTATATCAACAGGTGCCAGTCATAACCAAATCATCAGGCTAAAAGTCTGATGCCAGCCTTTACCTGTTCCGGATCCCACAACATCCCGGCTTGGTGACTCAGCCATGGCATCAGCAAGCCTTTCCCGGAGGCCTTCCTCGGTGTGCTCCATGGGGGACATGTGCCTCAGCCCAAAGCCCTCTGGCCAGCTTCCGCACACCTCCAGCAGGGTCACGCTCCGGTCAAAGGAACCTATGGCACACACGGGACATGGGACATTGATTCCACACCTTCACAGGATAAATTGTTCTTTTTGTCTACCTGCCACTAACTGCCCTCTGTGGCATGAGTCCATCTCAGCTTTTGTGCAGGATGAATGAAGGGGAGAACGTATGAAATATATATGTGAAGTACAGAATACAAGGGCTCATGCCCCTGAATTGGAGTGTAGAGCTTACGAGGGCTCCTTCAGGCTATTGAGGCCAGTGACTTTCTGAAGATCTAAAGGGTTCCTCTGAAGTCCTCAGGGACTGCTACAAGGACTGGGACTGTGCAGGGAACCTGTTCTGGTTAGTTAGTGCCACTTTGACACGAATATACCACAAATGGGATGTGGCCTGAACAGACAGGAGTTTATTCTCTTACAGTTTGGAGGCTTTAAGTCCAAGTTGAAAGTGCCAGGCTCTAGGGGCTGGGTGAAAGCCCCTCAGCCTTGGGCTTCAGCTCTGCCTCCAGCTCCTGGCCCACTGAAGCTAGAGGCTTTTCTTCACTCAGGCAGCTGCTGGCTGCTGAGGCTGCCAAGGCCAAGGTTGACAAGTAAAAAGGCATAGTCCTGATATTACTAAATCACATGGCAGGCCATTAATTCAAGTCCACTGTAAGTTCCAAGGTCGGCAGAGCATGGCAGGCTGCTGAACAGTGACACAGCTACATGCACGGTTCAAGGTGCCATAAGCTAGAGACCATTCCTCAAGGCTTCTGCTTACTACTCAATCAGGCCCAGCCAAGTTGACATATCAACTGAACTACCATAATTCCACCCCTTGTCAAGCTGGCATCTGTACAGATCTCTCTCACTGGGTGGCTCCAGTCCCCTAGTTCCTGAATGGTGACCTCAACCCCCTTGGCCTGGTGGGCCCCATTCCTCTTCCTCTTGGGCATGGCAGCCCTGCCCTCTCATTCTTGGGCAGTGGCTATGGCTCCATTCCACTGACTCACATGAATGAAAAGCCCCATACTCCAGAACCAAGTTGGTGAAGGCCTGGCTCTTTGAAACCTAGGGGGCTGTGGTCATTCCACCCCCAAAGGCCATGGTCCTACCCTTAAGGCTGAGGCAGCTCTGCTTCTGCCAATTAATGATGAAGGCAGCCCACTCCGCAGGAAACCACAAAAGGGATGCCTTAACAAACAGGAGTTTATTCTCTTACAGGTTGGAGGCTAGAAGTCTGAGTTCAAAATGCCAGGCTCTAGAGACTGACCTTGGGCTTTAGATCTGCCTCTTGCTCCCAGCTCACTGAAGCCAGAGGCATCTCTTTACTCAGGCAGCTACTGGCTGCTGAGGCTAACAAGCCCAAGGTCAACGAATAAAATGGCACAGTCCTGATGTTACCAAACTACACGGCAGGCCATTAATTCAAGTCCATTGTAAGTCCCAGGATTGGCAGAGCATGGCAGGCTGCTGAACAATGACACAGCTACATGCAGGGTCCAAGCATCCCATAAGCAAGAGACCATTCCCCAAGGCTTCAGCTTATATGCAGGAAGCAAACCACATTCCCTAAGGCAGCTACTCAGCTGCTCACAGTAGATTCCACCATGGAGTTGATTGCCAGTCACATCATGGGAATACTACATCCAGCTGCCCAGCCACTCAACCAGGCCCAGCCAAGTTGACACATCAACTAAACTACCACAGAACCCTAGTTCCAGGTTCAACAAAAACAACTTTACTTTTCTCTGTGTGATACAATAGCACTCCCCCTAAAACATCATTTAAAGAAAGAGTTACATTGCTTAAGTTGGAAAAAAAAAGATGATTTCTAAACCACTATATCCTATAACCTATATCCAATCTCCTCACTTTGTAGCTGAAGCTCTGAGAAGTTATGGCCCAAGATCAAATAGCAGGTTTGTGGGTAACGTGGTCCAAGAAGTCAGATCTCCTGATTCCAGTCTGCAACCTGTTCTACTCCACTGCATATGGTCTCCCAGCTGCCCAAGGACAAGTGCACAACTCGGGTGCCATTTTGGAAATGCCAGCAATAGAGTTGGGTGATAGCATCTTTAAGCAAGGATCTTTCCTTAATCCAAAGCTGCTCCCTGATTCCAAAAAGTACACAATGTTCTCCTGAATGCCAAGATTAGATTTTGCATGCAAGATCACTTCAAAGTCCAAATTTAAATTATTCTATTTTATTATACAACAAGTCTTCTGTGAAAGCTTATTTCATCCACTCTCCTTTGGAAGGAGATTATAGTCATGCTCTGTTGCTTTAAGCACAGACCATTTCCCCAGCGATTAGGTAACTGAATCCACTGCATTTACTGGGCTCGATTCCTGCCAGCACTAGGAAGATGGAGGAAAAATGCAAATGCCAATGTTTCCCCAAGTTAAAAGTACAAGAAACACATACTCTTTATCAGGCCTTGCTTCTCCTCTTTGATCAGCCGTCAGAAACTATCTTCCCGAGGCAGTCAGGACTGGGGAGCATCAGCACACACTCTCTGCCAATGACAGGTGGTAATAGAGAGGGTGCGAGCCCCAGCCCCGGCAGGCGGCCCTGCCTCTGATAATGGCCAAAGCACTGAGGTGATAACCGTTAGTAAACACTCCGACAGCGGTGACTCCATACATCAGCAAAGAGGGCCAGATAATCCTGAACTCTCCTGACCAGACAAAGGCCCTCAGCCGGCCCGCTGGGATTTATATGTGGCAAGGGTCACTACTGGCTCCTGAATTTCATCAGCCAAGCTTGGTTTTGATTTATCTTTTGACTAATTGTAGGGTAGATTCCTGGCACTAGGAGAATGAGCAGTATCTATAAATGCATCTCCTCAGTAAGAGGCCCACCCTGGGAGTGGGTTGCTTGGGGACAGCCTTGCAAGTGGGACTCAGAGGGATGGAGAACTCCCTGTGCCATCTCTCTCTCCATCAAAGAAGCTCAGGCTGTGGGTGGGGGAAGCAGACACTGGGAAGTATGGGTGGGGTGCTCTGAGAGTCAGCCGATCTTCCTAGTCTGAACTGTGCCAGAGTCATGTACTGGCAGTGCCACACCTAGAGCCAACACTCAACCAACATTAGTAACGATTCAAAGGTGCACACGTCTCAAAGGACACATAGCTTTTAGAATGATTTTTTTTTTTTTAATTTTATTGTGATTTGGGTGCAAGTTTACAGAGCAAATTCATCTTCCATACAGCAGTTCACATACACTTTGTCTCATGACATTGACTGCAATCTCCCACAATGCAACAGCTCTCCTCCCACTTCCTCCCCATAGCCACCAAAGGACACATAGCTTTTGATACTACCGCACAATCACTAAGCCATATTAGGTAAGTCCCTCTATCTCCTTTTCCCATCTTTTAAGTGGAAATAGTAATTCCCCTGTCTCAAAGGAGTGAAGAGATTAAGCAAAGTTACTGCCAAGAGTCTACACCTTCCTTTAGTGCTGCCCCAGTCTTATCTGATGAGATTCAAGAGCTGTAGCATCATTGTTCTGTTCTGAAGGGTCTGCCTGGGACACCTCTGCTTAGTGATTTCCAGAATGGAGAACGGTAATAAAATGTGGTGCCACTCCTCCCAGTATACGCCAGAAGGCAGAGAGGTCTCAGAGCCTGTGACAAAAGTAGGGTGGCTGCCTCTAAAAAAGGAGTACCATCAGTGTGGTTATACCCTATGTTTAGGGGACAGGGCAGGTAAGCTGGTAGCAGAGCTGGGAGGAATTTTGGAAGCCAAATTGGGAAGATAATAATAAAAAAAATCTAGAAAAACTTTATAGCAAAAAGAGTTCAGGTAAGAGGGTGGGCCCATGACAGATGGTAAAGGCTGGAGGAGTATGTGGTATTTGAAGGGACAAATCAACAGCATGTAACAGAAAAGCAGCAGAAGCTGTTACACTGCTGTTGTTGTTAGATGTCATTGAGCTGGTTCTGACTCACAGTGACCCTATGAATGACAGAACAAAACACTGCGCCATCCTGCCAGTCCTGCACCATCCTCACAGTCATTACCATGCATGAGCCCATTGTCACAGCCGCTGCAGAATGTAGAAACAGATCTGGATTTAAATACAGGCTGCACACGTACTAGTTGTATGACCAGAGGCAGGTATCTTTATCTCTCTGAGCCTCTAATTTCTCATCCATAAATATGAACCAGGGCTATTGTGGGCATTGCATCTGACAACTTTAAAAGCTCCTGGAATATGTAAGAATGGCCAGGTATATAGTAGAGCTGACAAAGGACAAGGTTGTGGTTACTTCTTGGCCACAGTCAGCTATCTGGAGGGAGTAAGTAGTTGAACCTGTGGGCTTGGGACCATGGTCACAGGGAACATCAAGCTCAACTGGCATAACATATTACATAAAAACATTGTTCCACATCCTACTTTGGTGAGTAGCGACTAGGGTCTTAAAAGCTTGCAAGCGGCCATCTAGATGCAACAATGGGTCTCTCCTCATCGAGAGCAAAGAATGAAGAAAACCAAAGATTCATGGAAACAATTTGCCTTAGCGACTGGTACACCATGCGATCCACAGCCTATACGACTATAAGACTAGAAGAACTAGACGGTGCCCGGCTACCACTGTCAACCACTTGGAGGGGGATCCATGGAGGACATCCTGGATAGAGTAGGAGAATAATGTGGAACAAAATTCAAAATCATTTTGGGGGAAAAAAAAGTGGGGGTAGACCAGGTTTGTTGGTCTGATAGAGCCTGGTGGAACCACTGAGACTATGGGCCTCTAGCTGCCCTTCAGGTCTGGAATTGAACCCACAC